AATGGATTTGACATAAAAACCAATAAAGCTATGCAATCAAATTAAAGTAATTGGATAGCAAAAGCTCTTCTAGGAGAACCTGTTGGGAAAGTTTATTGAAAATACTCAACAATTTATAACAATCTAGATACCATAAGTAGACTCTCATGGGGAGCCAGACTAAAAAGCCAGATTTAGAAAAGTGAATATGTGACTGAAAATAAAGTTGAAAATTGTTTTCAAATCATTTCAGTCAGGGCAGCAGGGGATATAGAGCCTAGTTCAGTGCAGAAGTGATGGGAAAGGGGAAGCAAAAATAAGTCATAGAATAAAAGAGAGAGAGAAGGATAAATTGCCAAAATTTAATTGATCACTGGTATCTTAGAATTTTTTTTGTTCCTGAGATATTAAACTAATCCCCATTGCTAGAATTGTTCTGTTTTCATAAGACCTTTTATAAATATTATATATGATAGAAATTTTGTTCTCACCATTTTTCTTGGGTATATTAAGTCATCTAAGCTAAAACATAACAAAACATTTAAACATAATTGTAATTAATTATCATTCTAATATATTAATTTTAAAGAATTTGAGGGAGGCAATAAATAGCCTTAAATCATTGTGGTATACCTGTATTGTGTTGTTTCTAGATGTGTACACTTGTGTGTGACAACTTCCTGTTTGTTAATCATTAAAGTAAAAGGAGGGGTAAAATAAATTATATTTAAGTGTAACCACTACCGTTCCTGATCCAGATAGCTGAATCTATATTGTGGTAAAAATAAACCATTGTGTATCCTGACATGAGGTATAAAGGGCATCCAACCTTGTTTTGTTTTCTGTTACATTATCTTTCCATTAATTGTTGCTCTTTTCCAATAAACTCACATCCAAAATACTTCCATGTCTTCATTTTCTCAGATTTATTGCACATATGTAGTAAAAAAATGTAAAAGTAACATGGGTCTATAGTAAACACTGAAGCGATTTTTTTCTCTAGTAGTTGTTCTAAGCCTTTTTTTGAAAACCAGATTGACCTGGGTGAGAGAAAGAAAAATTCAGTACCATTGATGATATTTAAAGGAAGTAGAAGAAAGGTCATATTTAAATTTTAAAATTATGATGATGTACTAAGGGAGTAACAAAGTTAGCAGATCCTTTAAATGGAGAACTCTTTAGAAAAAAGAGATATTCATAGAGGTATAAAAAAAAACCAAAGTTTGTCAAATCTAAGCATTTTAATGTTAAGTTTCACTGTTGCCCTTTTCTCTTGTCATAGGAAAAAGTTATTATTTAACATTAGAGAACAAACACTGCTGATATTTGTATCTAATAATGGAATAGAAATTTAATTAGGAGCATGACAGGATTTTTTAACCTGGCAAGTGTTACAAAAGCATTACTTTAATAAAAATAATGGCAAGAAATGCATAATGAAATAGCTAGTGTGTGTATACATGTTTGTATATAATTTATAAGGTTTTGATAAAGAAAAACATATTTTAAGACTTATGTATTTCAGCATTTTGATTTAAAGGCATTATCTTTTGATAATCAAAACTTTAATGTACTTCTCTGGGTAGAGATCTATACTTAGAAATAATTTGGTTTGCATTTCAGGCTTAATTAGCAAATTGACTGTAAATCTCCATTGTATAAATCTGGCTATGAGAAATTCAAATATATGAGAAGTCAATATTTAACTAAATCTCAATTTAAATTTAAAGTAGTTTGACAAAACTTTTGTTTATTTAAAAAATAGTAGTCTTGAGAATCCAAGACCACCTTAAAGGAGGCAGGCAGTAATTTTTTACCCCAATAATCAAGGTCTTTATTTGTAGATGCTCATGTTGGCAGAACAATTTATTTTTTATCCCACATATTTCTGTTTAGCACTTTTGCCACCTATAAGTATTAACTTTAGAAAGTACACCCTGGGCAAGGGCTGTTTTGTAATGTTTTGATGTTGCTGGTATTAGAGAAGTTAGCTAATATTGTGGTGTTCAGTGATATTTATTTTTGGAGTTGAAGACTGAGAAAATAAGGAATTTTGCAGTAGTTTCTATGTTGTAGCAATTGATTGTGCTAAGAAAGGTCAATTTAATCTTTTTAATTTAGTCTTTCATTAGGAGGGAAAGAAGAGATATAATTGAAATAGTCATAAAGAGAAGAAGAAATATTGGAAATAACATTAAATCAAGTGTCTAGTACTAATCTGAAGCACTATGTGCTCTTTAAGATTTTCAGACACTGTGGAGAGCCAGTGTCTTTATTTACCTCTGGTCATTATAAGTCCAAATGTTTTTGGCCTTTGATTTTAATGTTATCAATTCACACTAGGTTTAATGGCACTTTGTGTTAACTAATCTGCAAAAACAAAATGTAAACCCTTGATCAAAAAGGCCATTTTTGATTCTAGAACAAATCAAAATCAGACAACTAAGTACCAGAAAAAAAATCGTATATTTGGTCACATGTGCTTTAGAAATTCAGAGTTTGGAAATAAGCATTTCATAACTCAAACAATAATGTTCTCATGTGACTAAACTATATCAAAGCAGTGAAAATAATTTACATATAAATGTGACTACTATGGCATTTTCAAGTAGTTTTTAATATATATAAAACTATATATGTATAGTTTTTAATATATTCAAATCTCTCTATATGTATATACACAGACATATATATGTACTCTTATATTTGGTGACAGAAAAAAAATGAATTGGCTAAATTTAGTGAGGAAACATATTATACACTGACACCTGATTATTATTTTAATTATTCTAGAAATTCCTGACTGACAGATTTAAAGTGTTCCCAGTCCTGGCTTATATAACACAGAAAGCACAGACTTAACATCACTGTCAAGGACAACTCTGAATGTTAATGTTGATGTTCCATTTTTGGCCTCATGGCAGAAAGAGTTTTTATTAACCAGTGCAAGCTCTGGAATGTCAAAGGCATGATAGGCAGTACAGACTCCACACACAAAATAGATGCAGAGTCATTTTATCCTAAATTGCTTTGCTTTAAAACATAGCATGACACTCTAGAGAGAGGAAGTATTAAAAAAAGATTTTATAGTGTTCTAAAATGTTAAGACTGAGAAAAAAAATATAGGGATAAAAATGCTTATGCATTTGAAGTTGTGATTCAGCCATTCTAATAAGCTCCACTACACTTGCCATAACAATTGAAAAACTAAGAGCTAGATTGATAGGTTCCAAACATTGTTGTTTTGCTAGTAGAAACAGCAGGTTTGCCAGAAAATAACAGGCCAGGTCCAAATATACTCTTCCATTCATATATTATATAACAAAATGTTCTAAGAAGCAAACTAGTTTGTTAGAAGTTACAAAAACCTGCTCAAGGGAACCTCAATAATATACAGTATAACATGGATCTTAGGGATCTCAAACTTCTAGTTAGGATGTCTTAGTTCCAGACACAGATTCCTCTGTACTCCTCGTGTTTTTACCCTTTACTTATTCTTTTTTTTACTCCAGCTTGTTTTTACCAAAAAATACACCACATTTTAAAAGTGATTGGAAGTACTTGCTTTGATAGTATTGATTGAAGAAAATGAAAATTCACTGTCACATATATAAATTAGAAATGTAGTATTTGAGTTATTTTGGTTTTATCACAGAGTTCAGTTCAGAACAAATGATTTTTTCTTCCAAGGTTGGAGCAACTATAATTATACTAAATAACAAATTCTCTCTCTTGTATCTATAAATAAGAGGGATTAAACTCACCTGTACATATTGTCCTTACCCATTCCAACATGGCCCTACTCATTTGGTAAATGTTTATTGATTTTTACTTGCTTAGAATACATAGTGAGAAGTTCAGAGAATGTCTCTGTTCTGTGCATCTTACATTCCAGTAAGTAGAGACTAACACAAAATGACTGAACTAATACATAAGGGAAATACCAACTAGTAACAATATTATGATAAGAAAATGGTGGAATGAGAGAATAACTAAGGAGCAACTTTAGATTAGCCTGCTCATCAAAAGTCCCTCTAGGAAGATGAAACTAAAACTGAGTCTTGAATAATAAGAAGAGATCATTTAAAGATCTGGAGGAAGATCAATTCAAGTAGAAGCAACAGTTTGACACATTTATGGAAGAGATAGAAGGCAGGTATATCTGAAACAGAATGAGAGATCAAGAATGTTATGCAGTAACAGCCCCCACCCACCCACAACACATACAAGAATTCAAGTGGGTGGTAAAGGGTTAACTCTCCAGGATCCCAGAAGTCCCAAGAGGAGACCCCCATGCTGCCTAAGTAACCTCTGAAGTAACCAAAGGCACTTCAGAGTGCATTTATTGCTTCCCTTTATTGCTCCCTGGCTGCCTACACCATAAAAGCTCCTCACCCCTAGACCCTGGCACAGCTTGTATCTCAGCCTGTCAAGACTGCAGGACGCCCCTCACCACTGTGAAATAAAGCATGGTCTGGTTGTAGAAAAAAAAAAGAATGATATGCAGTTAGATTGTTGCAATATGTAGGTGCTAGGCAATATAAAGTTTCACATAAAGAATTTAGATTTTCCTTCTTATTGAAATGGTATTTTGCTGGTGTTTATACAGAAAAATGACATCTGATTTATAGTTTTAGCATAAGAGATGGAATCACCATAGGAGCTAAACAAAAGCAGTATACAGTCTGGTGGGGGTGCAGTACATGAACCTCAGAATAAGAGAGTGCCAAGTATGAAGATAAGAGAGATGCAGGTAAATTTAGGAAAAAAAACTTTGAAAAGGTGAGATAAGAAGTAGAACATCCTCCTGTGATAGTCTCAATGTATAAACTGACTTTTTACTATGTAGTTCTATTGACAATAGAAAAATGCAAATTTGCTGAGTACTATAGCAGAAAGAAAATTTGCTTGAAATGGTTCCAGTTTAATGAGAAATTACATTAGCCAACATATGGCAGAAATTTTCAACATACAGGTAAGACTGTTATTTAATTTCCTTTTTGAAACACTTTATCTTCCAGGTGCTTCAAGAAGATCTAGAGCAGGAACAAGTCAGAGTCAATTCTCTCACTCACATGGTGGTTGTAGTTGATGAATCTAGTGGTGATCATGCAACTGCTGCTTTGGAAGAACAACTTAAGGTCAGGATATTTTCTTTAATAAATAAATAACTAAAACTTCAAAACATATTTAGAAGATTTAGAATGTAATTTATTACCAGCATTTGATGCTACATATTTACTAAAACTAATTCAAATTATTTCCCATTTGTGTATCTTTCCCTTTCAGTAACTCACACTATTTGCTTACAATAGCTTCCTGGACTTTGAGAAAATATACAAATGCAAATGAATTTATTTTTATTATAATCAAATCACTTGTATTAGGAAACTGGCCTAAGGAATGCTATTTAGTTCCTATTCAATTCTACAGTCTAAAAGAGGACTAAAATATTTTTAAAAGAACCATAGTTGATTAAATGATGAACAAGTGTATGTCTTCAGAATATTTATTCCTATAAATATTCTTCAGTGTAGTCTTGATGTAAACATAGAATATTTAAATCATAGAAGTTGTTTGGAGCAGATATTTAACCATTTAAACCCATCCAACCTATCTAATAGATTTGTGTTTCTGAAACACAAACCAGTACATTCTAAGAAATAATATGAATATTTTAATATGCATTGTCTTCTAAGTTATGAATAATAAATTGTTAATGGAAAGTATTCCATGAAACTATATTATACACATCAAATTATCACTATCAAGGGAAACACAACAATTTATTGTTCTCAATAATTATGTACACAATAATGAAAATTATAACTACAGATGGTTTTTGAACCATTCATGGGCCTACCAAATGCCTGCCTTTTCTTTGTGACAGATAGGGACCAAAAGTCCGATATGTCAAGGATCCAATTAATGTGGGTTTAAATGGCTTATCTGCTTAAACATAGTTTCTCCTACCTAATCTATAACAGGAATTCTTAAGCCTTATCTCTGTTTTCTTCTCTTTTTGTGTGAAATGTGTTTATTTTTTATTCCAGCGAAACGTCATTTCCTCAGATTACTGCTTTAGACTGCCAAACTTCAACAATGTTATCTCACTCTCCATCATTAAATGACAAAGGGAAAGCTCTTGAGCTAGCAGGTTGGACACTGCTACAACCAAACATTTAATACATACTGGTAACTCATGTTAATCACTCACATTTCAATGAAATTTCAGGGACCTAAAAAGCCATCATACATAGGATCCTTTATAATGTACACACACACACACACACACACACACACACACTCCTCAGCTGAAGTACTGCATTTTAAGGCATTCCATATTCTCATACAATAGTAACTAAATATAGGTAAATAAGAATTTAAGACTCTTGCAAGACATTTTCGTTAAACATAAAAGGTTTTGGAACAGGGGTTGCTTGGAGTTGTGACAGGTTTAAAAATAATAGAGCAGAAAATTTTCTTTCTTTCATGGTGGTACTTGAGTTTGAACTCTCAGCTGCATCTTTGCTAAGCAGGGACTCTACCACTTGACCTCACCCCCTGCCCTTTTGATTTATTTATTTTTTCAAATAGGATCTCATGTGTTCTTGTTTGCTGAGATGAGGATCTTGTTACTTTTTGCCCAGGCTGGCACTCCACCATAATTCATTTAGTCAACAAATATATTGAGCATCAGCTCTCTGCCAGGACTGCAGCTAGGAAAGGTAGATGTAATAGTTGTGGTACTATACTCATGGGATTGCATTACTCATATGAAATGAAATGTAAAAATTATGGTCTGGAAGCATGGCTCAAATGGTAGGCGTGCCTCACAAGTATGAAGCCCCTGAGTTCAAAACTGTGCCACAAAAAAAAGTAAAATTATGACTGTGATGAATTTGATGTAACAAAAATATACATGACTTCTCAAGTTGTAAAAGGTCAATTAAAGCTCCACACATGACCTTAAGTGAGCCTTAAAGGTTTAATAGAATTTAATTAGACAATACTAGAGAGTAAGGAAATAATTTGGACAGAACTGTATTTATTCACTAATTCAAATAATATATATTGAGTTCTACTTGTTGCCAGCCAAAAGCTTAGAATTTAGGTTAAGTTTTGGACAAAATATAAATTATTCTTCTGTGGAGGTTACATTCCAAGAAAGTATCATAATAAGTAAATACTGTGCCATGAAAAAAGCATTTCAGACAGAGAAAAGGAATGATATAAAGAAAATGAAAGTGAGAAACTGAGACAACCTGAATGATTACAGATCCCTTATATTTTACTTGACGATGGCTTGAGTAGTTGGCTATTTGTGGTTGGCTGAGACTCTGCTACTTAGTATAAAGTAGATTATAGTCTGTGTGCATATCATATTAAGTTGCAGTTTACTATGCTCAAAGAAACCTTTAGGATAAACTTAAAATATATATGGAAGCAGCTTTAAGCCAAAGGTATTCCATTTAACAGAGCTATGTAAAAAGGACTGAAGGCAAGGCTCTTGGGTAGAGCACTTACCTAGAAAAATAAAAGACCAGGGAAGGAAGAAACCATTTTAAAGTGTGTTGTCTAGGGAAGCTTTATTGAGAAGGCAGCATTGGAGCAAATGAGACTAAGATAACAGTGTTATTTTGGAGGTGCACAGGTCACATGGCACAGTTTACATTTGAAAATGTAAAAAATAAAACAAGTGGATCATAAGAAAGTATATTATTTTAGGAAGATAGTTTTTCCTGATAAAATAGAAATATGGTTAGACCTATATATAGCTTATGGAAGGTACACTAATGAAAATATCTTACAGAAAAAAGCAGAACCATTAAAATCTCATTTTTAGATATGTTTTTCTATGCAGGTTAAAACTTGAGAGCTCAAACTAGATATATGATATGTCCCTATGGTTGTAAACTCAGGAGATTATCTAGCATATGAAGAGGACTCAAGCCAAGCCTGGTGGCTCATACCTGTAGCCTGACCTACTCGGGAGGTGAAAATTGGGAGTGATTGGTTTTCAAAGCCAGCCCTGACAAAAAAGTTGGCGAAATACCATCTCAACCAATAAGCTGGTGTGGGATGTACACCTGTGATCATAGCCACAGGGGAAATGTAATAGGAGAATCATGTCCAAATTATCCCAGGAAAAATTATGAGACCCTATTTGGAAAAACTAAGAACAAACAGAGCTGGATACGTGACTCAAGTGACAGAATTCCTACCTAGTAATTGTGAGGCTCTGAGTCAAATCCCAGTGCAACAAAAAAGGAGTCAAATTATTTTGTTAAATGAATGTAATCTTCAAGGCACTGTGTACCATTTTTGAGAATTAAGTGTATGTCCAAAGAATAGGTAGAAAGAAGAATTCTGTTTTGAAGAAGGATAGCCTAGAAAACACAATTTTAGAGTAGATTATTAGACATAAGGCTATGTGCAGTGGCACAGTTTCCTACCTATCCTGAGAAGTTAACAAAAATGGTTATTGAATAAAGGAATAGTTTTCAAAGTTTAAGAAAATCACTAAGAAGTAGATATATCTTTTAAAATCACACATGAAAAACAACTTATAACAAGTGATATTAATTTATATAAATATTATGTGGTGTTCTTAAGAGAATATATATGGTGGATTTATTAAATTGATCTAATAGAATGGAATGCACATAATGTATTTTGATTTTCCAAAAGTGTTTTTTAAAGCCTCCCATGATACTTGTTGAAACTATTCCAGAAATGGGGGAAGAGGGGATAAAGGAGAATTCAATTATGTGAATACAACTGTGATATATTGTAAGAAATGTTGTAAATGTCATTTTATAGACTCAGTACAATAATAATAAAAAATAAAAACAAATAAAAATTTCAACATGAGAAGGGGATCAGGAACCAGTGTAAAGATCAGTTAGAGATGAATCAACCTGGGTTGTAACACATTTGTACTTGATAGTAATGCTAGGAATCTCTGTATAGCTGTCCTTATCTCAACTAGCAAAAATGCTATGTCTTTCTTATTATTGTTTATTTCTACTCTTCAACAGAACTGGAGAAAAGCACAGAGCAGGTTCTGCCTGGAAGCGAAGGGGGAGGGGGAAGAGGGTGGAGGCAGCGGGCAAGGGGGAGAAATGACCCAAACAATGTATGCACATGTGAATAAATGAATAATAAAAAAAGAACAGAGAAAAAAATTTCAATACAGCAAATGAATAAGTAAATAAAATAAAAAGTAAAAATATAAGCTTAAGAATAAGATGAATCTTCCTATTCCTATAAAGATTGTTGAAAAATGTCTGTTTTAATGTCCCTTTCTACAATCTAACTTATGTCATAAATAATTTCCCTAAAATGATTGGACTACTTTAAGTTTCATTACCAGAAAATTCTGAGGATATCATTTGAAGATTTAGCAGTTTGTCCCTGTTAGAGGATTCCCTCTTCCTCATCACCTTAGAAGGTTTATCAATGTCCTATGAAGTTAGAATGTAATACACATAATGCCACATTCTTATCATTCTTGTCTTAAATCAGAAAAGCTGTGTTTATTTTTTTCTGTCATGTTGCTGCTTAAAAAACAATCTCTTTAAGTCAATTGAATAAGTTTGGCATAAAAAAGGTCTGGCTTTCCCATACACAGTTGTTAATATAAATGTAAGTGTTTATAAGTGAATACAAATGCATATATCTGTGGGTTCCACATCTGTGGATGCATCCAATTCTTGATCACAAACATATCTGAAAAAATTACATCTGCATGAACATATCCAACTTTTCTTAGTATTCATTAGATAATACACTATAATAACTACTTACATTGTATTAAGTATTATAAAATAATCTAGAAATGATTCAAAAATACTCTTTTGTAGAAGTCAGAAAAAAAAGTTCACTCAATGGGGTCAACTTAACTCATTGTGCCCTATCTCCCTTAAAACCTGCTTTTATTAACTAAATTCCTCATTTTTTTATTATTGTACCACAATTCAGTAATGACACCTGGACCAGAAACCTGGAGTCCTCCCAGATAATCCTGACTTTTCTTTTATGAGCATGCTCTGTAAGGTTACAATATTTCTTAACTTGATCCCATATCATTATTTCATCTTTGTTCCTGTCACCATTCCTAATGAAAAGCCCAGATCAAAAGCCCCTTAGAAGTCCATATCTCCATTTTTGCC